TGGATCTTAGAATTCACTGCTCGCGCCTTGCGACCTATATAACTACCCTTTATAGAGCAGCACGATAACACCTAGCAACCACATAGTACACAACTACCCAACTAGGTTCACCCTTACCACTGCATTCTCTTCCACAATCGTCCGACCCTTTCCACAAGCCTCGACCGCAGCAACATAGTCATTCACTGCCCTATGATAACCATCCGCTAGCTTTCTATCAGAGGCCACCTATAGAGTGAATACCCACAACAAGGTCATCATTCTCCTACTCCTACACACCTTAGCTGCTATCTCGATGGAGAGCTCAGCAAATTGGCGGGTTTCTCTGCTACCAGTCTCCTCAGCTAGAGGCAAGGTATGGCCATTACCATACCTACAGCAGTCGGATTGTGAAGGCCCTTCTATGACGCCACAACGTATAAGGGCGGCTCCTAAGGTGAGGGGTGACACTGATGATAGATGGAGTATTAGTAGTACTACCTTTCCGAACAACAGTACTAGCAACAAGGCCACAGTCTTTTATCAGAGTACCAGCCTCTACTACTACATCCTGTAGTACGCTATTGGTGATGCCACACGGTAGCTGATGACGATTATAATCACTGAGAGTAACCTACACGTAGAGATTTATAACCTACCTCCACGAAGACCACTACCCACCTTAGAACCTTCTACCACACCAATCTCAACTCGCCCTTGAAATGTACAGTTCCTTATCATCTTCACAGCCAATGGCTCTTCCCCTATAACCATGACCTCCTGCCAGTCTTCAGAACTACACCCAGACGCCTCCAATCCTTCTATCTGACCACAGACGACGACCAACATCATCATCATCTACCCCAAAGCCAACAGTACCTACCTCCTCTACAGTGAGTGGCCTCAGCCTCCGGGGAGTGTTAGCCTCTCTCAACGCTACCAAGAAGGGCGATCTAGCTATACACTTCCTTACGAAGTCCTCAGGTGTCGGCACGCTACTGAATGACGCTGCTCTAGTCCTGGGTAACGACGACGACATGCTCAATGACAAACAAGCGAAATTAGCGACGAAGACTGTAGACAGAACTTGACCATAATCGATCACCAGGGCGCGCGCTACTTCACAATGAACCCAACACTAGTCGTACAGAAGAAAGTCGATATTGTTGATAACAACTATTATTTACTTCTCGTCACATCCAGCAGACTCAGCAGCAATGATTTTCTCAACTTTATCCACCTTATCTTGCATAGTCTGGTGTTTGTCTATTCGAGTACCAAATCTCATACTAGAACTCACTCTAGGACAACCTACCAAACCAACAGTAGATGCATAAATCAATAATAGCACCTCACCCATCTCATGAAGCACTTCATGAGCTGCCTTAACAGCCGCCATAACATCCGACCACTGCCCTTCTATATTAGTACCATAACCATGTAGTGTAGTAGTTACCCCCGGATGGCCCCTGAGGGCCTATACAACCACCACGGTGTGATACCGATGACCCTACCTTAGAACTTTTTCAACTTCGCTGACGTACTTAGAAACACTGGTGCCAACTCCCATGGGAACTATACACACATCAGCCAGCACCTATACGAAAATTCAACTTCATTTTTAATAATGTACTCACCCATTCGTTCCCAGTATCCCCCCACGGTTTCGGACCCTTCACTTCACTCGTAGAGAAATGTCGCATGTAATTAGGGGCGACTCCGATAAGACGGACGGCCGGAGGGTGACGAGCCACAAGATTTAACACTGTTGGTAGAACACCACGCCGACCAGCACCAGCAGCAGCAGTTGCCATATCAAAAATCGATCTATATAGAACCTTCAATAACTTCCATCACGAAACAGAACGGGAGAATCAAAGTACTGTAGACCTCTATTCTAGCCACCAAGGAGACACACCCTGTGTCCCCAAAATCGTCACGCGCCACGAAATTATGTGGGGAGGAGTCGTACCCATCAGAGCAGTTAGAGACAATCTACCTCAGTTATCCCTACCACTCCATGAACTACAACGCCACATAGTCTCATCAGCTCCCTATAGTATCCTACTCCATATCATATTCTCCAACAGAGGGGTATCCTTAGCATCTGCCTCGTCAGCCTAGGCTTCACATACTCCAACCCCTCGCACTACCCACAACGTTGTAAGGGTTTAGGGCGTGCGCCCTCTCTAGTAGTATGCAGCCACCACATAGCAGGACTTAGAGCATGATTACTTCGAGGAAGCTATAGTTTGTCACTAACTGTAGCCATCCAGCTCAAGTTTCCCTACTTCTCCACTGCCTCGCGTTAGCCACTGTCGGCGCCGTCCTCCTCATCGCACTACCCACAATGTGTATTTCCCGAGATTACAGTTTCTGAGAAATCGTGTCCACTTCCTGGCTTCCCATTGAGAGATTATCAACGTATATAAAATATAATTTTATACGCTCTGATCCTAGGAATATATACATGTCTTCATCATTTCACATTAATACTACTGTTGATCTATATACGGCAGATCTAATAAAATGGAGTTTCACCCTAGTGATATGAAAAACACTGGTGGGAAATATATTTCACGACTACTACATACCGCGAATATCGCGCTTCTCACAGAGTTTTACGACGCCACTTCACGTAAAATGGGTGAAACTCCAATAAACACTAGCTTTAGGTTTATATATGATAACAACAACGTGAATCCTTTTATTAACACTTCCAACACTACAACAACACTTATATCAAGAAATGGTTTCCTCACCGATACTACTTTTAAGATCATCTACCCAACAACGTTAATGCCCTACAACAGAGTGCTCCATTTTAGTAGTAGTCTCTCTTCCTGCTCTCCCTATAGTCACCATAGGAGGCCGATCGAGACCTCCTGTTACCTCCTCTATTATAACCACTATCCCTACGATCTCTCGAACTGCTACCCCACCAGTCACCTCCTCTACGGCCACCATAATAACTGTCACCCCTCCCATAATAACTGTCACCACCACGACCACCACCATAGTACGACGAGCCGCCACCCCTGTCATTATACCCCCCACGCGAGCCTCCATACGAGTAATCATCATCATACCCTCCTCTGCCGTATTCAAATTGTCGTAGAAGCTCTTCAATCTGCCATAAAACACGTTGTTGTTCAGCTCACACATAAAGCCAATACCCACCTGGCGTATAGCCCTCTCCTATTGGCCTGACTATACCCAA